TCTGCGGGTTGCTGAAAAGATGGATTTCAACCAGCCACAACCAAGAGTAGTCTTTCAGTCAGAAACAGCAAAGCAGGAAGGAGGAATTGCAAGCCAAAAACACGAGACCGCCTTTAGGAAGGTTTGTTTGAGAGTTTGGATACACTCGACACGGAGCGCCGAGCCAGCCCTCGGTACAGCAAAGCTGGGAGAGCGGAGCAGGGATCGGGGAATTCTCCGCGCTCGCCTAGCAGCTCCCGCACCGTGCCGCTTGCTTTAGCTCCGGCTTTGGAATTACCCCAGCAGCAGCGGCCAGCTTGCCGTTAGTCTGGCAAGCTGCAAACTCCAGAGGCAGGAACCTTCTGCGAGAGAGAGAGACTGGAAAGCAGAGCAGGGCGAGGGGAGCCGAGGTGGGCAGGAGCCGGCCGGGGTCCCTTACCTGTGCCCCCTCCCTGCTCAGGTGCACCAGCACGGCCGAGGACTCATGGATCTCGCTCCCGTCGTACACCCCGCAGCCAGCCAGCACCACGGCCACTCTCTTTCCCATGGTCACTGCCGGAGCAGGAGGATTCCCTGGAGAGCCCCGAATTGCTGTGCATCTCTGTTCACTGCCCGGAGCCTTTTATAGTGCGATCCCTCCCCCAGGAGCAGGTGGGGCCGGGAGGGTTGGGCTGAATTTCTTACTGGCGAGAAGGTTTTCTTTCCAGTGCCACAGTCAGGGCACGTAAATATTATTTGTTTCCTCATCTGACTGCTCCCTTGCAGATCTTCTTCCCAGCACGTTGTCTCCAAAGCATCCCCAGCTGACGTGACCTGTTCAACAGAGCAGCTGTGTTTTTCCTCTCAGCTTTTGATTTTCCATTCTCTTCCAAAGTATCAAAGTCTTTGCACATAGATGGTATCAGAGAGCCCACCCTGAGCAAGTTTTCCAGCCAGTGCATTCCTCTCTGTGTCACATTTTTTTAAACCCTGCACTGCATAGGCATCCTCAAGATTTCCTCTTCTGCTCTTAAATGTTCTTTATCCTCACATCTCATCTCTCAAGAGCAGATGTTTTGCACTTGGTTGTAGTTGTCCTGAGGTTAGAAGTTAATAACTTGATTCTTCATCAACAGCAGCATCTCTCCATTTGCCAGGAAAGTGGTACCAGGAATTGGCAGAGCCCTGACCTCCCTGGGGGCTCACGGCAGCAAGATTCGCAGCGTGTGACGGAGAAGCTCCCTTGTCCTGGACGTGCCCACACCGGAGATGATCATGTACCTCTCTACGTCAACTTTGCACTGTTGAAATAACGGTGACCTGTTGAGGCTGTCTTGCCATTCTTCAGGGAACAAAAACCTTCACATGATATGGCTGAAAGATGTTTTTCAGGGGTTGTTTATAAGAAGTTTTCCTTGGGTCTCCATTATATCTGGGGGAGACACGAAGTACATCCTGCGTGTAACAGAACAGTTTTTTGGCAAGTTTGCCAGTCCCAGCAGGCAAACTGGGAGGAAGATGCTCATTGCTAGTGCATGTGAGCTCAGTTGTTGCACACATCTCCAAACTCGTGATGCCAGGCTGCTGCCTGTACAAGCAGGAACGAAAAACGCGGGAGAAGGGACTTGCAGCCCAGCTGATCTAACACGGGCTTTTCCTTTCAGTTACTTTTGTTGCCCAGAACAGGAATGAAACTGTGAGATACGTGTGGAAAACACCCAGAGCCTTTTCAGTGCTGTTTGTTTTGGTGTCTAAGGTACTCGAACTGCGGGTCAGAAACGCACTATTTCTTCTTGCATAAAAAGCAGCTGAATCAGGCTGCGACTTGAACAGATAGTTTCTTCCTCCTTCAGCTGGTTAGAGAGCGGTCCCGTTAATGATGGAATAAAAATAGCCAGAGGCTGATGATTTAAACAAACTCACTGCTTGCTGCAAACCGCATCGCTCAGCTCTGCCTGCTGCAAGCTGGCTGAGCTGGTTCCCCTCCCTGGTACTGGTTTGTCCCTGGACAAACCAGGTGTGTTCCAGTGCTTGCTTCCTCACCTCATAACATCCATCTCAATAGCTGTATTGAACCTAAAGATCCACCTGAAATGAACATGTTCTTGGTAAATCATACTGTTCAGCTGAGTTACTCCATTCCGTGTGGGAATGTCTGCACACGTTTGTTACGACAGAGACATGGGGCTTTCATATGAACACTTTGCTTTAATCTGTGTTAATATTCTAGTGAAGATGAGCGTGAAGGAACTGTGTTGCCTCAAAAATCTTCCCAAAGGGTGAACACAAAGATAAGTGTCCTTTAAAGCACTGAAGAAACCAGGGAAGTTTGGGAGCCACTCAGGGATCCAACTGCTCACTGGAGGCCTGCCAGCATGCTCCAGCTGGCTCAGAAAGCAGGAGGAGCATGGTCCTTTGATGTTATCCGTGGAGCCCGACAGTCTGGGGTTGTTCTGGATGCTGCTACAGATCTAATGTCTCTGGGATGATCCTGGATTCCTGCCTTTGAGCTCCAGTCTGTGCAGCTCCAAGTCCCATTTCCAACAGCTTTTCTGTCCTCCAGCCCTGGCTGTGCAGTATGGCTGATGGGGGAACCTGGAGAAGGCTCTGCCAAGAGGAACATCACAGCTTGCTGCTGTAGGGCCTCTGCAGAGTCATCCTTGACCAGCTCAGTAATATTCGTGTGAAGCTGAAACAAAAATATTCGTTTTATCAAGAGGCTGAGAGTGGAATTTGCTTTAACTGGGGCTGATGGGAACAGGAGCCGAGCCCTTCACCGGAACAGGCCCTTCACTGGTCCATTGCACACAGACAAAGTGATGGAGGAACATCCATAAGTGCAGGCAAGTGTTGCCCCTGTTTTCCATTGAAGCTCTGTTAATCTCGCAGAACAGCTCTCTGCCTAATTCCCACTTGACGTGTGACCCAGCATGATCCCTGGGCCAGCATCTGCTGCGTTCTGCAGCCTGTCCTCCACTGGTGAAGGCCTTTATGTTCTGGTCACGTATTCTCCGTGGGAAGCAGTAGGAAGCTGTGAACAGGTCCCTCGTGTCCCCTTTGGGATACAGCAGCGATCATGGCAATGACTGATACTTCCCCACCGCCTGCACAGTTCTGCTGGAAACCCAACGAGTCTCCTCTAGATGTGTCCTTATGCTGATGGTCTCCAGACGGCACGTTGGCATTGACACAACACTCATGGAAACCACTTTGGAGGAGTTTCCTGTGGGAGAGGCTGGGTTAGGTGGATGTGGAGTGACACGTGGACAGAAGTCACCTTTAAGGGAATGGCACTGGATCTGCCGGGTTTGCCCAGCACAGGACGCTGGTGCCAGGCATTCATAGCTGTGACGGGGACAAACAGCAGGACGATGGCCAGCGTTAGGAGAAATAACTGGTCCCCAGGGAGCTCCTGGGCTTGCAAAGTGCTTGTTTGCTCCAGCAAGATGGATTCGTAAAAAAACCTGCCTTTTAACCAGTGTAATTTCCTCACTGGCAGTAGCAAAAAGGCCGTAATAGTAATAAACCCTCAGCCTGATTTTTCCAGTGTCTTTTTTAACAAGGGTTAATCACCAGTAAAATTAACAGGCCCCTGGAGGGAGCTACCAGCAGCCCGTGCTGACTCACAGCCCCAAATTTATTGCAGCGAGGAGCTCGCCCGCCTTCCCTCCCTCCCTCCCGCGTGCGGAACGGAACGGAACGGAACGCTTGCGGGAGACGCGTGTAGGAAAAGGGGTGGGAGCAGGGAGGCCCGCCGGCAGCG